TCTTGCTACTTCTTTTTTGGTGAGAAGACACAGCTGTGCCAAATGGGATGCCAGAGCCTTAAAGGTGGCTGTATGCAGAGATGTGAATTCAGGATACGTGTGTGAAATGGGGGATTTCTCTGCCCACTCTAGGCAGGGAAGCACTGTACAAACAACAGAAGCAATGGGCAAAAACAGTCCCGTGAACAACGCAACGCTCCATAAAGCAGCTCCGCATTTTACCACGTGCATCTGAAAGACTCTTAGGGGCAATAAGCTCTGCAAGGGCTATGCACTCCATAAGGGACAAGACAATCTTGAGGGTGAGGGTTGGGGCAGCTCTGTATGGAGAGGAAATCTCTGCGGCAAGCAGTGTCTAAACAGTGTCTCTGGGGTCATCTCTGCTGGAGACTGCGGCGCAGCACACAGAGAGCAGAGCTGGCTCGCAGGGAGTTCACACAGGAAGCAGTTGGCCTGGGTGACGCAGAGGTCAGGCAAATAACACTCTGCTGGGAAGTCTCCAATGTGGCTGCCGAGAGGCCAGCTGGGCCAAGGAGGGGCTCCAGCCCAAAACAACCGAGATCACTTCTGTGAGCAGAGGGGGCTCACGGGGCTATTGGTGTGCAGAACAGAAAGGGGTCTTACTCACCCTTCACCCCTGTCCGGTAGGTGTGCTGCACGTATTTCAGTCCTGACACAATGTCCTTGTTTACCTGCAAGAAGTGACCAGAATAAGTTACAGTTTTGTTGTAGTTAGCACAAAGGGGTGATCAAGATTAGCTGAGGTCTCCTTGTTGCCCTCTAAGATAATAGAGAGCTGGAAAAATTCTTTTCAAGATGTGGAGGGATATAGTTTTTGTCCATAATCTTTCCTCAAGTCTCCCATGGGTACATTGGACATTTTCCTTGCTTTCTCCATTCTGCACACACTGCCTGACTGCAGCATGATTCAGTCTGGAAACAAGACAGGCAGATCCTTTTACATCCCGGGGGACAATCCACGTGGTGCCAGCCTTTTCCAGCTTTGGGACTGAAAGAGAGATTTAGAGTAACTTGCCTGGCTCCACGCATCTTCTGTCAACAAGGCTGAGATAGGTATGGAAACGTTTCATCACTCAAAAGAGGGCTGGAGGTGCCCCTGGGGTCAAAGTTATCTCCAAGACAGTGAACAAGCCTCAGAGAAGGAGGGAAATCCTTCCCACAGAACCCATATATTAACAGTTTCTCTTCTCTCTCGTTTTCAGCAAATCTATCTGCCTTTCCAGTTCACTTTTTTTGACAAATCCAATACTGTTTACAACAAACATTTGTGAACATAATCACTTCAGTGCTCAATGCCATACTGCACTGTGGTCCTATTTCCAATTGGAAACAGGCAAAATGCTGATTAGGAGAGAGGAAAACAAGACTGTTTGGCTTTATCAGACACATAAATTGTCAGATATCTTCAGTCAAATGCTACAATATTTCGTCATTTTTATGCATTTGTCAAGCCCAACAATGCAGTTATAAAAGTACTTCATGGAAAGGAATATTCTCCTTCCCTTACATTGCCAGTAAGTGTGGACTAAAGATTTTCTGACGGCTAAAAATTCAAATGCAACCAAAACTATTTACCTAGATCTAAAACAACCTACTGTTCACCATCACAGATGGATAGGATGCAATGTTTTCTAAAAGGTGAGGAAATGACAGCAGTCTCCTGGAAAGGCTAGTCCCTTATTGAGTATAATGACACCTAAAGCTCAGGTGCTTTCCTTGGGCTTGGCTTTCTGGAAGGCATGCTGCCAACTCTAACTATCTGACAGACTACTGGTGACAGGCTTTAGCAATCGGAAGGAAAGCAACTCACTTTGAAGTGGATCTTAACTCTGTATTCAACTCCCTCCTTTAATACAAAGGTCTCTTTCTTGAGTGCTTCAATGTCACCTGTAAGGAGAAGTTCAGGTCATTAGTTAGGAGGTGAGAAGAGACCACAAGCAGGGGACCAGGATGGGGCTGGGAGTGGCGTGGGAGGTGAGCATCCCTTTGAAAGACTGTGCCAGAAGAATGTGCAAAGGTCTGTACAAGGTTTGCACTGCGAGCAGACACGCACAGAAATGCATGGGCCTGCGTAGAATCATAGAATGCTTAGGGTTGGAAGGGACCGCTAGAGATCATCTAGTCCAACCCCCCTGCATACGCAGGGTCACCTAGTGCATGTGGCACAGGACTGCGTCCAAGCGGGTTTTGAAGATCTCCAGAGAAGGAGACACCACAACCTCTCTGGGCAGCCTGTTCCAGTGCTCTGTCACCCTCACTGTTAAGAAATTTTTCCTTAAGTTCCTGTGGAACTTTTGATGCTTCAGTTTCCGGCCATTTCCTCTAGTCCTATCAGTGGCCACCACTGAAAAGAGACCATCCCCGTCCTCTGCACTCCCTCCCTTGAGGTACTTATAGACACTGATTGGATCCCCTCTCAGCCTTCTCTTCTCCAGGCTGAACAGGCCCAGTATGTGCATCTGCATGTAACTGTGTCCACATCCGTGTAGACAATGCACGAATAAATACAGGTCTGGGCACAGATGCATGACAATATTTATGTAGAGACTCACAGTTAGGTATTATAGGCTCACAGGGGTGCGTAACGTGTTTGCTCTGTGCACAGCAGCAGGCTCGGGGGAGCGGGTGATCGGAGCTGGGCACATTTCACGGCTCC